TATCAAATCTTTTATACAAATGATACATGTCATTAAAATTAAGTAAGTAATAAGGTAGAATAACTTGGCGCCGACTATTGATATCAAATCTTTTATACAAATGATACATGTCATTAGAATTAAGTAAGTAAGGATAAAATCATGTAGGTTTTTAAAGATGGTTCTACTAAACAGCAAATGTGATTGATCAGTTTCACAGTCGATTAAGTAGTTGACGTTGGTTAAACTGGCCCAAATGGTTTTTTGACCAGCAGTACCCACTCTTAGCGCTTTTTTCTACCTTTTTTTTAAAAAGGTAAGTTTATAGGCATATACTTAGGTTTCATTGTATGAAGATAAAGATGATACCTCATGGGTTTTACTTTTTAATTTAGTAGAATTTAAATAATAGTACTATATGGGTTCTTAAAGATTAAAGGTACCACTTGTGTTTTACTTTTTATTTTAGAATTTAACTGGCCCAAACGGTTTAATTTGACGCCGACTGTTGATATCAAATCTTTTACACAAATGATACATGTCATTAGAATTAAATAAGTGTAAAGATAGTATACCTCTTAGATCTTTAGAGATAGAATTTAACTGGCCCAAACGGTTTTTTTATCAAAAGCACGCACTCTTATATATTTTATGGAAAAAATACATATTATATGACAAGAAATACAACGAAAAAGATGAGTAGTGAGGATGGGAGGAGGGAGAGGAAGAAGAGGGAGGAAGTGCAATGTATCGTAGAATTTATCTGGCCCTAACGGTTTTTTATCAAAATAAGGATAACATCACGTAGGTTTTTAAAGATGGTTCTACTAAACAGCAAATGTGATTGGTCAGTTTCACAGTCGATTAAGTAATTGGCGTTGGTGAAACTGGCCTAAGGATAACATCACGTAGGTTTTTAAAGATGGTTCTACTAAACAGCAAATGTGATTGGTCAGTTTCACAGTCGATTAAGTAATTGGCGTTGGTGAAACTGGCCGAAATGGTTTTATGACCATCAACACCCACTCTTAGCGCTTTTTTCTACCTTTTTTCTTAAAAAGGTAAGTTTGTATGGTGAAACTGGTTAAACTAGATATAAAGGAAGAGAGATAAAGAGATAAAGAAAAACATGTTGGTTTAATACATTTTTATTGCAATATTTTACTGTTTATTTGAATGTTTACAAGACACAGAAATTACAATTTAACTTGGCGCCGACTATTGATATCAGATCTTTTATATAAATGATATATGTCATTATAAGAAGATAAAGATAGTAATACATGGGTTTTACTATTTATTTTTTCAAGTACAAATTATACATGTTAAAAATAGTATCACATAGGTTTAATGATAGAATTTAACTTTGCGCCGGCTATTGATATCATATCTTTTATACTGATAATACATGTCATTAGAATTGTTACCTACGCCTATGCTAAACGTCACGACATGCGCGGCTAGGCAACGATCTGTATGTCGACAGTCATAAGGTCGACACGGGCAGTTGTGTTTAGACATTCAAAATAGACACACTCTTTTGTATTATCACTCGATTCTTCCGCGTATTCTGATTAGCACATAATTCTCAATAAACTACGAATTAAAGATTACGAATTAGTGACAAACACAACAATTGGCGACGAGGATTATGGAGTTCAAAGAAGCACTCATGTCAC